AGGAAAAAAGGTATATTCGCTGGATTTTATTTTCACTGAATCATTTCTTCAGCGAAAGTTAATTTCAAGTGAAAATAAAGTATTCTACAGTAATAGGTTTAGGAGATCACATGGTTCACACAAATGCACTTGCACCTACCAATAATACAGCAGGGATATCAATGTTTGGAAATGACGTCCTGGCGCAAAAATATTAAAATTTATCATCAATCGGTTGTTGCATGGGTGGGTCCAATTTTGAATACAAGGTAAATTGAAGAAAGCGTATATCAGATCAGTAGGGATAAAACCACTGATCAAATTTGGTAATTTCCGATCCACATCTGAATTTCCGGTCCAACGCTGAACACGTATAAACCAATAATCACATTAAATTATTACTTATTTTGATCGTAAAAATGCCTCTGTAATTTACATAAGTGCATGCGCAACTAATAGAGTAAATTTAGTATAGTAATCATAAAACTGCAGAATGACGTTTTTTTTTCGGTTTGGTTATAATGTGATTTTCTTAATAATTAGTTGTTGCGTGTCCGCCATTATCAAGTCCAGCTAATGGAGTGATTGAATCCCAGAGTTGCGGCAACAGTCACGGATCTGTGACTCACTTCCAGTGTTTCATCGGATATAACCTGATAGGATCTACAGATTTGGTTTGTGGAATTGACGGAACCTGGCAAGGAGTGGTACCATTATGTCAAGGTTAGTACACATTACTGTGACATCGTTTATAATTAGTGGTACTATTTGTATATACAGTAAAACATGTTGAAAAAGTGACATGCAATTTTAGCGAATTGTGGTAAAATGTCGTGATAGCGAAATGTTGATTTAGCGAATCTCTCTTGTCATTGTTGATTTTCTGTTTTCACAATACTTGTCTGTCGAGCGCCAAAACGAATGAGCAGTGTAATTTGATTCTGTTCTCAATGATGAGAAATGATTCAAATGGGATTTGAAAAAAGCGGGTATCGTTGCTGCGTTATATCCAGAACATTGACCTTTTATATTGGGACTCAAAAATTACTACTAAAAGTACTTAATTTCCGTAATAATATATCAGTATCACTTCATTTATTTATTTTCATTGAAATATTGACCACAATGAATACGTTTATTTTTTTGTGTTAATTTACTTTTCAATAAAGTGTATCTATCATGTCAGTACGTTTTTTTGTGTGTTGTTTACAAAGTGTGTGTAGAGAAAAAAGACGTTGTTTGGCGGCCATTTTGAATTTATAATAAAATCATTAGCGACATCTTGAATTAGCGAATTAGTTCTCTCGCTAAATTCGCGAAAAAGACATGTTTTACAGTATACCAATGTTAGCTATGCTTTATTACAGCTATAATGTGTCCAACGCTGTCCACCCCTGCATACGGAGTGCTAAGTCCATTGGAATGTACTTTGGGTCCTGTACTCTATGGTACTGTGTGTAATCTGTACTGTTATGCGGGATTTGAACTTGATGGCATCCAACAAACAACATGTAGTAATGGTGGTATATGGTCACATGATATCAGTATGTCTAATTGTACAGGTGAGTATGTTCATGTTGTGCATGTGACTCGTATTATAAAATAAATCGAATGCTTGACTGTTAATTGCTCTAGATGGCTATACACTGGAATGTATACATTTCGTATAGAAATATGAACTGATTGCAAAACCCATATTCAAACATGTATGTAAGACAACAGCGCTATAAGTATGTTCATGTTGTGCATGTGACTCGTATTATAAAATAAAACGAATACTTGACTGTTAATTGCTCTTGTTGGCTTTACACTGGAATGTATTATACATTTCGTATAGAAATATGAACTGATTGCAAAACCCATATTCAAACATGTATGTAAGACAACAGCGCTATAAGTATGTTCATGTTGTGCATGTGACTCGTATTATAGAATAAAACGAATACTTGACTGTTAATTGTTCTTGATGGCTACACTGGAATGTATTATACATTTCGTATAGAAATATGAACTGATTGCAAAACCCATATTCAAACATGTATGTAAGACAACAGCACTATAAGTATGTTTATGTTGTGCATGTGACTCGTGTTATAAAATAAAACGAATACTTGACTGTTAATTGCTCTTGTTGGCTTTACACTGGAATGTATATACATTTCGTATAGAAATATGAACTGATTGCAAAACCCATATTCAAACATGTATGTAAGACAACAGCGCTATAAGTATGTTCATGTTGTGCATGTGACTCGTATTATAGAATAAAACGAATACTTGACTGTTAATTGCTCTTGATGGCTTTACACTGAAATGTATTATACATTTCGTATTTAAATATGAACTGACAAGACAACAGCACTCTTATGACTGCCCTTGCCATGAATAGAATTTGTCGTTCCATATAAAGCTGAGTTTGTTCCATAATGTATGTGCATTCGTTCCTGCAAATGAATTTTTCAAACCAGGTGTTTATTTAAAGTTAACTTTTTTGGACCAAACCCGCTGAACACCGGATAGTCATCTGTGAAACTGACCACTTTTCCCATTTACGTCTCCATCAACTTATCTGTTAAAAAAATTCAATAAACTGAATATGTTGGTAGTCTGTACAATATTTTCAATCAGGTTTCACTGTAATAATATAAAGAGTGTAATAAACTTTTGTCTATCCACAGATATTGCGCAACCACGTTTTGGTGATACTTGTCCACCCAGTACTGTAGACCCTCTTGTGCTCCCATTTGGCTCTGCAACAATTAATGCATCATGGGAAATACCGATAGCAACTGATAACTCAGGTGAAGTGCTATTAACTCAGAATGGAATAGTGCCACCAGTTGAACTGGACCCGGCAGGACTTTCTTTTTCTACACAGCGGAAGATCCAACTGGTCTTAAAACAGTCTGCAGTTTCTTTATTGAAGTTGTTGGTAGGCTTTTAAATCAACTTTTAATTAATATAGAATAGAATAAAATAGAATTCTTTATTAATACCGTAAAGATAATGTGACATTAATAAAGTTTTTACATAGTTGAGCAGACATAAAACTATCCGTGAATAGTAAGACAATTTACAATATGTAAGAATATGGCATATGTTGTTTATTTATGCCGGTAATGTACATGTATTTCTTATGTTGTAACATTGTTCGATGTACTTTATGGTTTCTTTGATTAGTTAAGTGTTCTTATTACTCATTATTTGTATGAATTTAGTATATACGATATTTAATCTTCATTGCGAAATTTAAACATCGCAATGGAGTTTGTGGGTTTTCGAAATGAAACCCAGAAAAAAAAATATCATAAAACATGAGTTTTAATTTCAATTTTTCATAAAAATCGAATTCGTCTTTAATGCTTTTCAGATGAAGAACCACCCAGCGTTGTCTCCTGCAATTCTACACATTTGATAGAATCCAAAATAATGCCCGCTGAACTAAACTGTCCTGACGCTGTGTTCGCAGACAACGTTGGTGTCACTGTCCGTTCTGACAGAACACGTGGTAGATTAGTCTATGAGTGGGATGACTACGTTATCATACAGACAGCTACAGATGACGCAGGCAATCAAGCCATATGCAATACAACTGTCAGCGTTGTAGGTAATATGCATTTAATACTCTATTATGTTTTAAAGCTTTGAATAATCAATTGAGTTTTCAGAGTAAAATTCAATAATTACAAAAGGTTATACAGTACATAGTATGAATCAGTTGTTGCTAGAAGAGCAAAAATTGATCAATCTCACTCCCACTTCTCAATGTTTTGGAAAGAGTTCCTCTGCTCCCCCAACCTGAACTCTATAAACACTTCATTTGCTGTAAAAAAACAAAACCTTCCCATTTTATCAGTCACTGTTCAAGGACTTATAGTTTTTTTTTTTTGGAATATTTTTTTGTGCCAGGCGACAGTTTCGGACATTAAGTGTCACTGTTGTCTCTCCTGACTTCTTTTCTGTATGTGCAAATTGCAAGTGCTAGTGATGACACATAGTGCATTTTGCCACACGAGTCATATGACAGGGCTATGTGGCCATCTCTCTGTCAAATGGCAATTTGTAATGCGCTATCCTGGTTTCAACCAGGCCTGGTCGAACACAAGCACCTGCGGAGCTTAACCAAGGTTCCCCCAAAGTCGCATTTGTTAGTAAATGAATCTTGGCCAATGGCCTTCCCATTGAAGGCCACTGAACTT